TATAAGCTTAAAAGAAAAATCATAACTTTGCTTCTAATTAGATAAGATAAAATAATAATAAGGTAATGTTTATTCAGGTAAAAGTACATACTGTATAATCAAAATGAGTGACAAACATATTTAGATTTCTAGATAGAGTTCGTACATACTATAGTATGTCTAAAGCCACTAATACGCACAGCGTTTCAGGCAAACGTTGTACCGATGTTATTAAATAGAGTATTGTCAAATGTTATTAAATTGACGTAGAACCTTCATGTTGGCCTTGTTTTGAAGCTAAGGAAAATTTATTTTTGCTTAAAATAATTTGATATTTAAAATATTTAATATTAAATAATGCAATATTTAAATTAGTACTGAATTTTTTCATTTCAAGAGCACATGAAATGACCTTTGACCTAGAATATGTAAAACACTCTATCTTAATTTTAAGGGGGAGGGGGGAAGCAATGTTATACAGTGAAGATACATTTTCATTGGTATAAGTTTTATTTTGGGATGGCTTTGAGAACAGGAGTGAAAAAATTAAGTACAGTATATGTATATGCCAACATAAAAGGTATGAAAGTATGCAAAACAATCACTTTATAACTGGCCTCCTAAATGAGACAAATGCAGTGTTTGCAGCTTTGACACTTGCACAAAAAACCTTTTATGGGAGTGAGATGTGGATACCAGAATTCAATCTTTCAGATGTGATAGAAAACATAGGTCACAGGTTTGTGTATCTGTTGATGATTCAGAGAATCGGCGTCTCTGTGACTGGGTCTCTGACTAGGACCCCTGGTTGATGGTCTGGTCAACTGTGCTGTTTGATGTGGCTGCTCACAGCCTGATGTACAAGTCACATCTGGTTGATCAGGTATCCTTTAAAGGTTTAAGTTTTTTTTTTTTTAACACTGCGAGAGGCCGGGGCAGTTATGCCCCGTATGTGTAGGGGAAAGATGTTGAAAAGTCTTGGCCCTTTGATGTTCCAAAGAGTTCTCTCTCCTTGCCTGCTCTCTAGGGAGTACAGATTTCAAATTTTTAAGCAGTCATTATAATGTAGATGTTTTATTGAGTAGATTCTACCAATAAAAGGTCTTTGCACTCTGCAGTTTGGCAATTTTTCCAGTTTTGAATGGGGTTGTATTCCACTCTAGAGAACCCTAGTGTCATTTTTCTTGTAGTTGTAACAGCAAATTTGTTGTGTTCTTTAAAAGCAATGTCTTCCGGCATGATAACTCCTTTTACAATGGTTTTCCTTTCAATAGTGTGGTTTAACTGCATTTTATATGTAGTTTCTGTTTTGATATGTTAGTTTTTTCCATAGTGCAGTAACTGGTCTTTATTCACATTAAACATGAGGTTTTCTGTGGCCTCTTTAATGATTTTAACATCTGTTTGGAGAATTGCTGTCCCCTATGTTATCTACTCTCATGATACAGTAGTGTCAATTCTAGTGCCATCTGTAAGGGGTGATACAGTACTATAGTTTTTACCTTTGTCTATGTTCGATATGAGAATGAGAAAAATCACTGGAGCAAGCACAGTACCTTGAAGGACTGAGCTTTTTACTGTGGATGATTCAGATTTTACTTTGTTGACTTGTCTTATACTCTGGATTCTGTTCATTAGGAAGTTGAAAATCCATCTCCCTACTTTGCCAGCTATTCCTTTTGTGTCCATTTTGTGTTTAATAACACTGGTCACATGTGTTGAAAGCTTTTGCAAATTGTGTGTACATTGCATCAGTGTTCTGTTTGTCTTCCATGGCATTTAAGGCCATGTCATAGTGGTCTAGCAAGTGCGAGAGGCAGGAGTGCCCTGCCCTGATCCATGTTGTCCAGGATTATGTATATGCTGTGAATCCATATGTTTTGTGATCCTACTTCTTAGCATTTTCAAAGCATTTTATAATGTGTGATGTTAGGGCTATTGATCTATAATATTTTGCATTGCATCTGCATTAGTAAATCCTTGATGACCAGACCACACACTAGAAAGTGAAGGGATGATGACGTTTCGGTCCGTCCTGGACTATTCTCAAGTCGATTGAAGGAGAAGGCAATAAACAGGCAGAAGAGAGGTGAGGAGAAGAAAATCTTAGAGGAAGAGAAGGCAAGGCAAAGGTAGGGAAGATGTAATAAAGGGGATAGTAAGAATGAGAAAACAAGAACACAAGAACAAAAATAACCGCAGAAGGCATATTGGTCCATACGAGGCAGCTCCTATTTATACCACCCACTCTCTCCTCTGTTCTTGCCAATTTCTACATGGAATACTTCAAAATTGTTCTTCTTCCTACTATTGATACTCATCCCTCTCTGGCTTTGCTATGTTGATGACATTTTTGCCATATGGCCTCATGACCTTAGTCTTTTCAGCCTTTCCTCTCCTCTCTTAACAATCTGGCTCCTTCTATCCATTTCAAAGTTGAATGGGAAACTAATTCCCTCTTTCCTTTTCTTGACGTTCACGTTCACAGCTGTGTCCGGGTTCTCTCTCTCTGTCTACTGCAAACCCATGCATAGTGGCATGTACATTCACTTCTTTTCCTACCATCCTCCTCCTGTTAAGAAAAGTGTCCTCGTCTCTCTCTTCCTCCGCGCTCTACGCATCAGTGACTCTCAGTTTCTAGATTCTGAAATTGCCCTTATCTACAAATCATTCTCTCCCCTTGATTACCCTTTGCATTTTATCAACTGTGCTTTTTCTCACACTAAACTAAATTTCTTTCATCCTAAACATGTTTCTAACACTAATAGCACTGTACAGTACTCTGCCTTCCCTTTATATCTGAACTCAAAACTTTTACCAATACTGTACCTTTCGTCCTCTTGACATAAAGCTCGCCTTTCGACAAACTAACACACTTCGCAGCAATCTAGTTCACACTGCTTCTCCTGCTTCTAATGCTGCTGGTGTTTCCTCTATTTCCTGTTCGTCTTGTCCTCTCCAATACTTTGGCGAAACTGGCCGTACACTTAATGACAGACTTAAAGAACACAAAAGAAGTGTTAAGTTTGCTGACACAAACAATGCTCTCTTCTGTCATGTTGGGGATTCTAATCATCCTATTGCTTGGTTTTCCTCCAAAATTATCTTTCCTGCCTCTACTCTACACAGACGCCGTCTCGTTGAATTGGCTCTTTGACTCTTCCCATTCATAGTATATACTTAAATGCTCTAAACTTTCTAACAAAAGTGACCTAACATAAGCTTACACTTCCATTTATCTTTTTTTCTTTCCATTATTTTCTCTTACGATCTCTTGTTTATTCCTATTATTTCCCCTTTTTATTCCTTTTACTCTCCCCCTTCTTATTGGGTTGTATAAATAGGAGCTGCCTCATATGGGCCAATATGTCTTCTGCGGTTATCTTTGTTCTTGTGTTTTTGTTTTCTCATTCTTACTATCCCCTTTATTACACCTTCCCTACCTTTGACTTGCCTTCTCTTCCTCTAAGATTTTCTTCTCCTCACCTCTCTTCTGCCTATTTATTGCCTTCTCCTTCAATCATCACAATCGACTTGAGAATGGTCCAGGACAGACTGAAACGTCGTCGTCCCTTCACTTCCTAGTGTGTGGTCTGGTAAACATACTTCAGCCACGTTATTGTGACTCATCGCCTGCATATAGTACCTCCTTTGTGAAGGAGGCATGATCTCTGCTGTTTTAAGCATGTCAAGGATAACACAAGTATCTAGGTTCCTCTCCAAAATGTATTTTAGGCCTGTGATAGTAGTTTTCTGTGGGGAGCCTCTGTCTCCCTGGTGCTATCGGGCTAATATGCGATACAGTAGACCATGGCTTTAGTCAATGGAGTTCTGCCCACCAAAGACCATGAGCCAGAGCCTGGCCCCTTCGGAGAGGTGCAGGAAGCAATGGCCCTGGGACCCCAAACCCCCTGTGGTTGGGGGTTTATCTTATTTGCCATTGACCAGGATTAAGCACCCAGAAAGGTAGGAATAACAAACCAGGCCTCACACGGTAAGTAAAATGCAAATGAAAGCCGAACAGAGGTAGAACTCCCTCAATTCCCAAGCAAACATTACACCTACTCCCACTCCCTGCCTGCCAGCCAGTTACCCATTCATACATCCAGCCCACTTGCAATCTTCCAGCCAGCCCACCTACCCACCATCCATCTGTTGCGCTCCCAAATATAAACAAACAGTTACCAACATTTTAAAACCTCCAGATTTACCGACCTGGGTAGATCCCCATATCCGCCTGGTTGTGATTGCCTAGTTATGCTTGCCGGAGGGGGAGGTTGATTTTTGGCTCTTTGGGCCCACCTTTCGACTGTCAATCAACTGGTGTACAGGTTCTTGAGCCTATTCAGCTCTTGTAACTACATTTGAAACTGTGTATGGAGTCTGCCTTGACCATATCACTGCTTAATCATCCTAATGCATTTCATTTAACTACCCTGACATTGAAAAAATTCTTTCTAATGTGTTTGTGGCTTATTTAAGTATAGTACTAAGCTTCTGCCTGTGTCTCCTTGTTCATGTTCTGCCAGTGCTAAATAGTTTCTTTATCCAACCTGTCGGTTCCTCTTGAGAATTTTTAGGTGGTGATTGTCTCCCCTAACTCCAATTTTTCACAGATGTGAGGTTTAGTTCCCATAGCCTTTCATTGTAACTCATACATCTGGGACTAGTCTGGTGGCATACCTCTGAATCTTCTCTTAACTTCGTTTTGTGTAACTAGGTATGGACTCCAGGCTGGAGTTACATACTCCATTATTGGTCTGACATAAGTTGTATACAAGGTTCTGAATGATTTCTTACACAAGTTTCTAAAGGCAGTTCTTATGTTGACTAAGTTAGCATAATGCTGCTGCTGATATCCTTTTGATATGTCCTTTTCATCCCATACTTTGTCTTCTACCATACTTCCAAATTTCATGAGAATCTGAGATGGTTAGGTTGAAAATTCCACTTTTGTGACGAATTGGCATGGCATGCCTCTTATGCCTAGGATTTTTTAAAAAAAAATTTTCCAATTTCAGGATAACACAGCAGCTCAAAAAGATGGCGGATGATCAACAGTTCTGTTTACGTTGGAATGAATTCCAAAGTAACATGGTCTCTTCTTTCAAGCATTTAAGAGAAGAAAAGAGCTTTACTGATGTGACTTTGGCATGTGATGGACAGACGTGTAAGGCACACAAAATGGTGCTGTCTGCATGTTCGCCATACTTCAAAGCTCTATTAGAGGTAACTAGCTTCCTCGACTCATTCTCTCTTTCTGCACATGCAAGTCTGTCAGTTGGTATCCACCGTTTGATTACCTACATGTAGGTACAGGAAGAGAGATCTGTGTGTGTGTGTGGATATGGGGTGTAAAAAGATAAATTAGTCTGAGATTTTGGCATCTTTCCAGGAGAACCCATCAAAGCACCCTATCATAATTCTGAAGGATGTACCATTTACGCATTTGCAAGCCATCTTGGAGTACATGTATGCTGGTGAAGTTAATGTGGCTCAGGCTGACCTCCCAAATTTCCTCAAGACAGCAGAAAGACTCAAAGTTAAGGGCCTCGCTGAAGTTAATCAAAATGAACGGCAAGATCGCTGAGATACTGCTCAGGTTTGTAGTGTGGTTTAATGTTATGATTGTTTCTCCTTGGGTTTAGTATACAATTTCTTTCAAACTTAATTTCATTGTAGGATAACCAGTCTTAATCTATGGTTCAATTCTGGTATCTTTGAACACATTTATTATACTATAGAGTGGCGACTTGTAATTACGGACACCGGTGGTGTATTGTATAACTGAAGCTATACAAATTGGAAGAATGAAACTGGGGCCCTAAACTTTTAAAAGTTCATGGAAAAAATATAGAAAAATTCATTGTAGAAGATACTAGACAATTGTAATTTCTCAGTTTTTAAAATTCTTTTGCATTTAATAGTAAAGTTTTATTTTTAAAGAATGTTTTAATGTACAGTACTAACACTGAACTGTTAATAATGCAGCCCTTGTTTTACTGTGAACCTCTAATCTTATGTTAATCAAGTTTTTTTCAATGGGACACACAATATGATGTTCACTGAGGATAAACACCAGTTACTGTGCTATGAAAAACTAAAATATCAAAACAGAAACCACATATAAAATGCAGTCAAACCACACTATTGAAAGGAAAAGCAATGTAAAAGTTTCTGGAGGAAGACCAGGAGGTTTCATGTTGGAAGACCTTACTTTTAAAGAACACAACATATTTGCTGTAACAACTGCAAGAAAAATTTCGGTTGGATAACAAGATCTTTTCAAACGAGATGCCACACCAATGGTGATACTTTTCAAGACACTAGTGCTCTCCAGAGTGGAATATTGTTGCACTCCTACATCTTTATTCAAAGCTGGTGAAATTGCTGACCTGGAGAGCATGGAAAAATCTTTTACTACTAGTATCCACTTAATAAAACATCTAAATTATTTGGACAACTTGACAAATTTAAATCTATATTTTCTAGAGTGCAGGTGGGAGGGATGCATAATAATTAACTCTTAAAAACTACTAAAAAAAGACTGGTTCCAAATCTGCTCACAGAAATCATGCCACATGATTCCAGAAGACATGGTAGGATGTTCAAAATAGCCCAACTGAAAAGTATTGGTACAATAGGCACGCTGAAAGAGAACGCGATCAACATCAAAGGCCTAAGACTTTACAGCACACAGTCTGCACATACGGGGCATAACTGGCCAACCTCTCGCAGTGTTAAAAAAAGTCATTAATAAATACCATTGAAGGATATCTGGTTGATACTGGGCTGACATGTGCATCAGGCTGCAAGCATCTGCGTCAAACAGCATGGTTGATCAGACAGCCAGCCGGGGAAGGGGGGGGGCCTGGTCCGAGACCGGGCTGCACACGTTGATTCTTAGGGATCATCGACAGGTAAAACAGGTATACCTTGTGAATATTGCTGACAGTGGATGCATCTATACCCCTGTCTCTCTCTTTGTCTGTTCTAGCATGGTATTACCTATCATTACTCAAGGATTTTATTAAACAAATTTTTTATATTTCATTGAGTAGTAAAAATGTTTGGCAGCTTGAGTTGAGGAAATGCCATTTAACCCCTTGGCTGCACCACTGATTATACCATGCAACATTCAGGTGTGCATGTTATAATCAATTTAAAAATTATAAAAAAAAAAGTTCCATCTAATATTGTTTAAAGTTCGTTCACCTGATCACAGGAAAGCAATAAAAACATTGTATGCGTTTTACCGGGCTGCGGAGATGGTGAGCCCCAAATTCAACACAAGGCCCAAGGTCCTACTTCGGCCGTAGTGAAGCCTGAAAAATCTCGCTATGATGTCAAGATTCATGTGCGCTAATCGAGCAAAGGCTTCAGGGTGGCTGGCCCATGCCAGCCGTCGGGCAGGAGTTGCCACAAATAATATTTATTATTGACCAAAATATTATTAGTTGCCGCAATATATTTTCTACACATTTCGGTATTTCTGATTAGTTTTGTGTGGGAGCCCTGTCGGCTCCCTGAAGCTATCCCACTGATACAGTGCTATTCTATTTGGGGTCATCAGTTACAGAGATCTTGTTGCCTACTAGGGACCAGAGCCAGGACCTGGCCCCCTCAGAGAGGTGCAGGGAGCAATGGCCAATATGAACACTTTACATTTAAAGTCTATCATGCTTGCCATCAACCAGGGAAGGCAGCCAGAAACATAGGTGAAACAAAACAGACCACTGTCAGGTTAAAATTGCGACTTACATCCTCAAAAGGGCAAAAGAGCTCTCCCAGAAAGAAAGAAAACCAAACAAACAACACTTCGTCCAACTACCAACCTGGTTCAGCCGGGCTACCCACTCTGCAGTTCTTGACTGATGGTGCTGGCGGTTGGACGTCACCTCAGGCCTCGGTTTCGTGTTCTGGGATTTTTTTTGCCTTGAACGGCTGTTCCTGCACTTGTGGTGTGTGCTAGCCTGGAGTCTTGGGTTCGGGAGCTGCATGTGTCTATTGACACCTTCCCTAGGTGATCCATGAGTGACCTTTGCGTGGTCAGGGTTGTCTTACCTGGGGCATTTGAGAGACACTCCCCATTAGAGGACTTCCTCGCTTGTGGTTGTATTTGCCCTTGGGGGGGAGTCGAGATATTGGGCTTTCCGCCTTACCTCGGGTAGGGGAGTGTTTGTTTTGCTGGTGGGGCACATGCAGCTGGCGCAACCTGCATAAGCCATCACGCTGCGGCCGATGTTTCTCTCGGACTGCTTGTGGGCTTTTGTGGGGTTGGGGGTTTCCTTGATTTCTATTTGTTGGCAGTTTTACCTGTTTTGCAGAGAAGTTCTAACTAGCTCCTAATTGGGCTGCACCTAGGGTGTGGTGTTGGTGGTACTCCTCTCCTGATCTCGAGGCTTTACAGTGGTTGCCTGCGGTCAGTTTGCCTGCATCGACAAGGTTTATCATCTTAGTTGGCCCCAGTGCCTGGGCTTCCTGTAGGGCTCATATTTACCTTATGGACCTTGGAAAACCCCTGTGGGTTCGGTCATACCGTGGATACTTCTTCCGAGACCAATCCCGCCTTGTGCGAATTAGAGGGTTGCTTGTCGCCCCTACCTCAGGATGATAATCATCCTGTCTGCCTCCAGCGTGCTGCCTGTTGGGTCGGGTATACCTACGACCTAGAATCGTGCGATACTTGTTCCCCACTTGTGCTCCAATTTACACATCCCCGTCTGATGTTGTGTGTGATCAGGCTGCTGCTTCGTTGCATGGTCGTTTCTGTTTGACTCGACAGGCTAGGTTGGTTGCCCATTTGGAAGCCCTAGAGCTACCCCGCATGGGCTTTGGGGACTCGGATTTGGAGGCGTTGATCATTTTGGCCTTGGTTCAGGCTGCGCCTCCTCTTCCTTCCCAAGTGGGTGTGGTTCGCCCTTCTCTTTCCCTGTGCTGCCGGCTCGCAAATGTCTGAGGGTTCATGAGTCGGGGCAGGGTTTAGCTTGGGTGACTTTGGGAGGCTGCCCTTCCTGGTATGGGAACAGAGGTGGTTGCCCTTCCTGGTACAGGCACAGAGGTGGTTGAGCCTCTTTTCCACCGAGGCTATTGAGGCGTCCCAGCACACTCCTCTTTTTCGAAGCCCTGGGCAGGCCCTGGACTCTGCCTTTCCTTCTGCGGCAGTGTGGGCGTGGATGAGGGCTCTGCCCAGGGGCCTTTATCGATGATTTCCAGGGCGCAGGAAGTCTGTATGGAGCTCTTGATTTCCTTTTGACCCCGCTTGGGCCCTTGTGCACTGAGGATGTGGTTTTTGTACCCGCCTTCCCTTTTGAGTTACGGCCCTGGCTACAGCCTTTTCTTTGTGTTCCTTTTCCAGAAAGTACATTTTTTGTTTTAGTGCAGTACATGTCCTGAGTAGTTCCCGTATATTACTCGGGGATGCGTGAGCCCCTCTGCCCTGCTGGAGCTGGTTGCACTGCTCCTGCGGGTTCGCTGTTTTTCACTTCGCATCTCGCGATTCAGCTCGTGGTGCTTGTTTCCTCATTGCCCTCTGCCTGGGCCCTGGCTCTAAGTTTTTGTTGCCATTTTGTCCTTGCTGTTTGCGGAGTCTGCGGTTCGGCTGTTTCTTCAAGCGACTTACTTGTTGTCATCCATTATTGGACTTGTTGGTCCTTCAGAGGTCCCAGGGGAAGGGGGGTTCGTCCCGGATGAGGCATTTCTGCTTGTCCGGGATGGTTCTTTCCTGGCTCCTCTCCTCTGGCGCAGGGGTTTCTGCTCTTTTTGGTCGTAGTGATAGGTTTGTTCGTTTGCAGCCGTCTCCTTCTTTTCTGGTGAAGAATGAGACTGCTGCTTTCTGGAGGGGTCCTTGGGTTGTTGATGCTTGGTTGATCAGCCAGGGGTGCATCGTGTGTTATGCCCGGTTGTGGCTCCGCCGTTATTTACGCGCCACGACCTCTGGCTGGGGACGCGTTTTGGGTTCCCGGTTTCCCTTCTTCCTGTTCTCGGGTTCGGGTTTCTCAGGTCGTCTGCGGGGTTATTCGGTCTAGCCAGTCCGTGGTCTATCCCTGTGCCCATGAAGTTCATAAGTTTGCTGTGCTTGTTGCTGTCTTCGGTAACATGTCCTGGGCTTACATTCGGGCACGGGGTTTTTGGCGGTCGAACAGGGTCCTGGCTGCACGCTACCTCCTGAATGTTCCTGGGCCTAGTCAGGCCTGTGTCGCTTTGAGTCGGCAGTTGCAGCCTGTTGTCTCGACTTCGAGTTGAGATGTGAGTACCGGCCGCCTCCTGGGCAAGTTCCTCTGTTTTCGTCTTTGGTGAAGTAGCTCCGGGAAACCGAAGGGCCCCCTTCCCCCAGAAAACCAGCATTGAATGTAATGGAACGTCATTTTCTGGGCGAGTCCCGGAGGCTTCCCGGCAACCCTCACTCCCTCCCTCTGGTCGGCATTTTTTTCACATGTTTTTTGACATCCAGCCTCAGAACTGCAAGATGGATCGCTGGCGAGGAGGTCTGGGGCTCCCCCTTCCCCCTCCCGGGGCGGGACATCACACGAGCCACGCAGCTCGTGTGATGTCGTGCTCATTTGCTCTTTTCATCTGGGGAGTTTTGTCCACTCATTTGTTTATTTTAGTCGTTTTCACCAGAATAGGAATTTGTTTTGAGATGCTTACCTTTCTGGGTACCTGTCCCAGTCGATGGCAGATACAGAATGCTCCAAATCCCATGTGCAATTCTATAGGCCATTGCTCCTCGTGCTTCTCTGAGGGGGCATGGTTCCGGCTTGTGGTCCCCGGTAGGCCTAGAACTTGCACTGACTGATGACAAAGTTTAGGGATATACATATCAGCCTGGATAGCTCCGGGGAGCCTCTGGGACTCGCTCAGAAAATGGCGTTTCATTATATTCAACGCTGTTTTTTCTTCTGTGATCTGTGCATTTAAATATTTTTAGAATGAACAAAAATTTGTTGGGATTTTTTTCTGCACACTTACACTACACACTTTTTTCTGCACATTTCAAGGGGCCTCTAGAACACCTATGAGTGTGACTGTTCCTACCCAGCTTCACCCCATTATGATCATATAACGGTTTCTTTCATTTGGGCAGTATTGTCTAGCAGCATTTATTGTTTTGTATCTGTCTTTTATATTGTTCAGAGATGTAAAATTTAAATATGGCTTGCCATGCCCATAGTTTCATCTCCGGTCTCGATACCTTCCTGCCTTTTTCACCACCGACTCTTTCCTTGTGTGTGTGTTTCAGTATTTATATGCGAGAAGGAGTCATTTTTTTTAGTTTTAACTATCATGAAATTGATTGCATTACAAGATATTCCTGGCATAAGTACAGTACTTGTGATACTTCTGTTCATTAATCACTTTCAGACCATACCTCGTTCAGTGTTATGACGGGAACTAGGTAACTATAAATAATAGAATTTGGTCATAATATTTGGATATGGGAAAGTTTCATCCATGTACAGTATTGCAATTCCAATAATGGAAAGGCCCAAAACCTTTGTAACATTGTTCCAACCACCAAGTTTCATAATAACTGTTGCAATTAAAATATATCTTATTACCATGTATAGGATATACGTTTTATTTTTGAAAGGTATTTTATTATATCAGTACTCATTGCATGATTTTGTTCTGTTTTATATTGTATTCTCATGGTAAATGTTGCACCAAAATATTAGCCACTAATAATCAAGATGTTTATCTAGGCACTAGTCTCTCTTCATTTTTAACTATATAATATATGCATATATTCATATACACGTATACATTCGCTATATATATCATTTCAGGTCAAGGGAGGCTTGGGAAACGGGTCGTCAGAGAAGCCAAAGCCATTACTACTGTCTCTTCAATCCCTCTGCTTCTCACTTCCCTCCAAACTTCTCTGTGCTTACTGCAGTTACCTGGGACACCTGCTTATCCAACCTCTCTGGCCACTCTTGTGACTTGGTAGCCCATCTAGAGCCTTGCAAGTTCAATCTGGCTCCATTTACTAGTGACTTGGTCTGCAATTTTTGAACCTCAAGATAGTCATTTAAATATAACTTCAAATTTGTATAACTTTGAATAGGGACTCGGTCCAGCCAAGTCACCTCCATCCTTTTCTTTATCCTTCTATCTTGGGTTCATAACTAAGATGTTCCAGCTGGAGTGTTGCTTGAGATCAGTTTGCAAGTGAGACAAACCAGGACAAATTGCTGCCTTAAGGCATGTGCAGTGAGCCACAAGTCACAAGGAGTAGGTTATCATTTGCAATTATGGGTTTTATTTATATGTATGTACATAGGCATGTATATATATATATATGTATGCATATGTGTATATATGCTTGTGTGTGTGTGTATTTACATATATAAATACACCTACATATACATATATCTACACATGTATACACAACTGTAATTTGGGGCTATAGGTTATTGGTATATAAAATAAAAAATGGCCAATCCAGATAAGGTCATCTTTCAGTTTTTGTATTTTTTTTTTTTTTAGGTGCATTGTATATATTGGTACATAATTTGCTATCATCTGTTAATTTACATTTTATTGAGCTCCTGTATAAGAATTCCCATATAAACCCACCTGGTTGCCTTTACTTTGCAAAAGTGATCTCAAATAGCATTATGAAAAAGAGCACCGCCACACAGTGATTGTTGGTTCGGTAATTGGACAACGTAGGTAGCCTCCCACTCCTCTCCCCCCCCCCCCCCACCTTTTTTCTCTGCCTTTTTTTTAATATAAATATTGTCCTCAATAATTACAGTACTAGATAATTTTTTAAAGAGGCCATTTCATTATTTTGTTTCCAGTTAGGTCAAATTATTTAAGGTCTATAAATGGCCTTCATGTTCATAAACATTCCTCGTTTTTGTCATTTCACATTGGATGTATTCTCCCAATCTCTAATGCTTTTCTAAATTATCTTGCTCTATAATGTTACTTTTAAATAACAAAAAATTGTAATTCAGTGCATAAAATCTAAAAAAAAATAAAAAAAATATTGAGTACACTGGTTTATATAAAATAGAAATTATACCAGGAGGGGCTTTCAAAGTATTGTATGTAATAATAACTTCACCCCCTAGCCACCAAAAACAGCAGGGAAGCTTCTGCTCAAGACATATCCTTTTTAATTTTTATATAAGTTAAATGCAGTCATGCTTCTATTATTTAGGTTAATACGTGTTGCTGACTAAATACTAATTCGGGTTTAGAATATATTTTCTGCTCAAGGCCTAAACCATGCCTGACGAGGGTACCGATTGATTTTGAACTGAGGAAGTTTCTAAGTCTTGTAGGGAAACCAATATTTTAATGAATCGAGCATCACAATATGTATGTATATGCAGCACTATACTGTATATATATATACTGTATATAGAATTTTTTTTTCTCTAAGCAGATGTAACTCAAATGGGAGCACACCCCAATACTGTACTAAAATAATATTGCGAGGCTTGGCAAAACTTCAGGAGACTTCGCCATTTGGTGGCCATCTTCTGTGGCTTCCGTGGGAATTGACCAAGATGATTAGTTGACTCGCAAGAGAATATTATTTTATTTCTAAGTAATGCACACCCTTAAAAAGTTACAAGGTTGCCTTTCATATGGTATTCTGTGAGAAGTTTGGACAAATTACTGCTTTGTATTTCAACATGTTGATGGTTTGTTTTATTTTGTATAGGCAGTAATATTCTGGTTTTTGTGTTATATCTGCATATAGTTAAATAATTTCAATTTTTATCAATTAAAACTCAGAATTATTATATTTATTTATTTCTTGATATATTGTCTGGAGGATCGGCTTTGACATTTGTAAACTAAAATTATCATGTAAGTTGGGTGATTCAGTATATTTGTTGTTTCTTTAGGGTTAATTGTGTACATGCATGAATATTACATTGGAACTACCAGATTTGGGGAATTGTATTTAATTAATACTTAAGTCACCAGAAAACACCCCATTTGCTCGCTCTGACTAACAGTGTAGTGTCAGCACTCTTGAGGGAAAGTTGATGAACTTTGCATGCTACAGAAGTCATAACCTTTGCGTACAGTCCTGTATTTTGTAGGAAGCATTGGTTATTTTGGCAATCTGTGAATGAAGATATATATACAAGTAAGAGCTCATTAGAGTTAGTGCTGGTACTTTCCCACTGGCCAACCGGCCATACAAATTTGGACCACCAAAGGACACTGACGCCTCCAGTGTATAAACGTGTCCTCTTGAATATGGTATATGCCTTAAAAAATTACATTGCCAAAGCCAACACTCTTTGTTTTGGAATAAAATACTAATTTAGTACTTTTCTGTAATCTGTTTTGATCAGTTTTACCTTCAAACAAATGGTATAAAATTTGAGTTAGTATTAATGGGTTGGCAGTGTCTTATGGTGACTCCTCACACCCAGGTACCCACACCGCAAGTTAGTATACGCAGGGGTGTAGCTTTGTATCTAGATTAGCATGGAGCAGTTTTGTACAAGAACTCAATAAGTTTTTAATAAAAGTGATAATGGATTTTATTTGACCCAAAATATCTATAGACTCTTGAATTACAATCTAATAATAGATATGTTTTGCTTCACTGTCAAAATCTCCTTGATGAGTTTCTTGCGGTGTTGAGCCTCTCATTCCCCCCCCCCCCTCTTCCCCCATAGGCATTGTATGTGCAAAGACACTATGTAGGGTATCTGTTTAGGTCATCGGTCTGTCTGCTGGAGGAATTGTTTTCAGAGGTAGGTTTTAAGTGTCCAGGCTGCAGCACGAGGAAGAAAGGGGTCTTTACACCAGTGTTGGAGGAGGTTCAATGCTGTAGGTAGGACCCAGTAAAAAAAGAGGGAGCACCACTTAGGACGAGGTATCTATTCCTGCATTCTTTTTCCTTTGCTACCTTGGTAGTTGGCATTCCCTGGCTCCAACGCCAAAACTTTACTAAATAATGCATTTGATAAACGAACTTGTTTCTCAAATTCAGATTCATGGAGCAGGTGGGACAGGCCTCCGAGTCATACTGTGATGGAAGATGGAGCTTTGTGGTAACAGCTCTGAGCCCATGTTGGGCTCCAGTCCATCCTTGGACTAAGTCCATTCTATCCAGCGGTCGACCCCAAAAACTCATTCAATTTTAACATTGTTCATTCAAAACAGAACTTTCTCAAATATAAATTTATATTATATATTAGCATATTGTGTATATTTAGGCACTCGTTAGGTTAGGTGTTTAGGTTCTGTTCTGTTAGCGATTATTTTTATTTGTAGTATATGAGTGAAGCATTTACAGCATTGTGGTTCGAACAAAATTCGTTGGTGGAAGTGTTCGAACGAAATCGGTTGCGAGTCATGTGTAAACAGTTTTTCATTCATAAATGGGGTTTGGCAGGTGCATGGAATCACTTTTGGGTCTCCGTTTGGAGGACGGGCTGTTTTAGTGTTGTAGTTCGAACAAAAGTCATCAACGAAGCACTTCTTTCGGAAGTGTTCAGACGTCATCAGTTGAGTCGTGTGTAAACTGTTTTTCATTCATAAACGGGGTTTGACTGGTGCATGGAATGGACTTTGGGTCTTTGGAGGATGGGCTGTGAGCTCGGACATTGGTTAGTCTTCGGTTCACCCTCCAACTGTTCTCCAATACGCAGCCACTTCCATGGCAGGAACAACTCCCAAGTCCCCAGTGGTGACTACTTTGTCACATGGGATGAGTCCATCTTTTGTTGTTACAACTGCAATTTTTGCTCTTCCATGCCTTCTCACTCCTATCTTACTGGGGGGTTACATCACCATCCTCACTCGAACTTGCCCGTTTCCCTCGACTGTTTTTTACGTACCATGATATGTTTGCCCCTGCTATGTGACCTAAATATTTTGGTATCCATCACAATGACTACCTGTCCTGTTGATATACACCTCATGAACACATTGTTGACTCTGCAGAGATAAATTTTACCTTTAATCCCACCTGGATTAGCAAACAGATTATTATGACCTCCGTCTGAGGAGGAGGTCGTCGTTTAGATACCCTTCCCGTTTCTTATCTCCAGTAAATTTAAGTTGGTTGCATTTTGCTGGGTTCCCAGCCATGTTGGTGTCTCTTTATAAAATGAGCGTGCGGATGCTGCCGCTAAGGAAGCTATCCGCCCTTGTCCCGTCTCTTGTAAAAGTATTCCTTATTCCGACTTTTACTCGGTTATTCATGCCCCCATCCTTGCCCGCTGGCAGAGTTGTTGGTCTTCTGTTATTGGTAACAAACTGCATACTCTTAAGAGTCGTGTGGCCCAGTGGCCTTCCTCCTGCCACCGTAACCGGCGGTGGGAAACAGCTCTGGCTAGGTTACGTATTTGCCATACCCGTTTAACTCACGGTCACTTAATGGAGCTCCGCCATGCTCCTTATTGTCCACATTGCATTGTCCCTCTTACGGTCGTGCATATCCTTGTTGAAGGTCCTGACTTCCAGGACAAGCATGTGTTTTGTTTTCCGACCGTTCCCCGTGGTCACTTGTCCCTTGATAGAATTCTTGGCGACTCGGATACTTTTGATATCGTTCGCCTTATGCGTTTCTGTTCTCGCATTGGCATCCTTGGTAATATTTAGCGCCCTCTGATTATTCCGCACATTTGATGGTGCTACATGACCTTCCCGGTTTGGTGCCTTCTATTGATAATTACTTACTGAGATACCCTTCACATTGGCGAGACACCCATTTGGGTCTCTTAAAAATGTCCAATTAAATGTCAGCATTGGCACTATCATCATCCTACCCCATATTGTGACTGGGGACAAGGAACTTAGACTGCCATGAAGACATTAAATATATCCCCAAAGTCCAAGGTTCTCCTATCTAGGTTGATACATTCACTCGGGGCCCCTTGTGTTCTCGTGAGCATCTTATTGAATTTCACCCCTTGGGCTTTTGCACTCTCCTCCAACTTCTCTATAACGATCTCTTCACCCTTTCTGAACTCCGGTCCACCTTGTACTATTGCAATTCTGTGGCATGGGCTCAGTGTTCACTATGAGGTGCTCCGTCATCTCTGCGCTTTTTCGGCATTTGCTCCATATCTGTAATTGTATTTGAGAGGTGACATCAAACCCCAAAGACTGGCTCAAGGCAGTTGTTCTTCCCATTAGGAAATCCAGCAGTTCAAAACCTCTAAAGATACTTGCCCAATTTGTCTGCAAACTTTTTGAAACTACAGTACAATATGATTAATGTATGTCTTGTGTGGTTTTCAGAACATTACTACCTCACCTCTCCCCCTCCCCGCTCAGCTCGTCGCCGTGTGGGGGCTTCGTGGGCGGCTGCTGGAGTGTGATGCTCCTTAGGACAGTCCTCTGTCCTTTTCTAGCCTTGTGCTCCTGCTGCCGCCCTCTCCAATTCTGCTGGGCACCTTTTCCTTTTCCTTCTGTTTCGTTTTTCTCCCCCTCTTCTCCTATCTGCTTGCCGTTTCCTGCCGACCTTTTGCTCGTTCTGGTTCTTCCATGGCCTTCTTCTATTTTGCCGCCCGGGTGCTTGAGGAGGCATACTCATGCACCCGTAGAACTGCAGTACCCGACGTCGAGAGCGAGGGGACCCTTTTATTGTCAATCCCCACTTCGTCACTGAACCCGATCTCGACGGACTGTCGGTTTCTTAAGGTGGCGTTTGTGGGGCGTATACTCACGACGCACCCCTAGGAGGCCCCGACAAGATCGGCGATAGCTTCTTGTTGGGTGTCCTGCCTCTAATTGTGGCTCCATGGTGGGTGTGGGGGCTCATTCGTGGGTGAATTCTTAATTTCGTCAAGATGATAACCCCTGTTTCGGCTGCTTCTGGCTTACCTTTTCAGGCTCGTGGGGTGGGCGACCAAGCCCCCGAGTCGGTCCGTATTGGAAGACCGGGCTCTGTAGCCTCCGCTGCATTGGGCCCCGACCTTGCTCCTCCTTTGGCCTCTCTGACTCCTTCCCCTGGCTCCCCTCCCTCCTCTGTGGTTGGGTCGAGCCCCAAGCCCCCAGTGGTGACTACCTCGTCCCTTGGCGCGGCTCCTTCTCTAGTTGTAACTACTGCGCCTTTTAACCCCTCTCTCTCTGGGGGTTCTCACCGCCGTTCTCGTCACGGCCGCCCTCGCTCGATTCCTTCCAGTTCTGCTACCTATCAAGCCTTGTTTGGTCCCGCTTCGTGGGCCAAATATTTTGATCTCCTCCCTCTTGATTCTGCGCCTCCTGACGATTTCTCCCTTCATCGACATCTCATTGATTCCGTGGATGCCTCCATTACTTTCAACCCCACTCGTCTCGGTACACGTGTCGTTGCTGCTCCTTCTCAGGATGCTGCTTCCCGCTTGGCTGCCTTATCCTGCCTTGGCGAGACCCCCGTTCGGGTCTCGAAGAACGCTCAATTGAATGCCAGTGTTGGCACTATTTTGCTCCCGCCCCATGTTGCAACCGGTGTTCGGGACCTGCGCGACTGCCACGACGATATTCGCCATATCCTCGCTGCCCAAGGCCATTCTATTCTCCGGGTGGACACGTTTACTCGTCCCCCTCGTGGTAGTCGCCGTCAACCCCTCCGGGTTGTGAAGATTACCTTTGATGGTAGGACCCTTCCACCCTCTGTCATTCTTGCTGGTGCCAGGTGCTCTGTCCAGGAGTACATTCCTTCTCCTCGGCTCTGCAACAAGTGCTGGAGGTTTGGGCATGGTGCCCTCCGCTGCTCCGGGACTCTCTCTCTCTGTCCTTTGTATGGTGGCGAAGGTCACTCTAAGTCGGAGTGCACTTCTCCCCAGGCTCGTTGCCTCAACTGCGGTGAGGCTCATCCTACCTTCTCCCGTGCGTGTGTCCATTACAAGCTTGAGGCAGCCGTCCTCAACCTGAAGCACCGGGAGCGTTTATCTTTTCCTGAGGCGAGGCGCCAGGTTCGCCGGCTCCCGCCTTATGCTAATATCTCTTATGCTCGCGTGTTGCGCTCTTCCTCTCCTCGTCCTTCCCGCCTTCCTCAGACTCACAACCGTTTCCGGGCCTTGGACCCTGATGCGCCCACTGCCCCCTCCTCTGTTCCTTTGGGTTCTCTCCCGAAGAATCCTCCTCCTGGTCCTCTGTCTGGGGTTCCCCTTCCTTCTACCCGGTCTGTCGTGTCTTCTGTGTCTTCTTCCTCGTCCCCCTCCGATCCTCCTTCCCATCCTCTTCCTCCATCTATTGGCTCTCCCCACCGCCTGTCGGTGCAGGCGGATGTCCATCGCTCTCCTAACGGCCGTCGTGTGTGCTCTCGTTCGGCTTCTCCTGTTGAGACACTGGAATCCGTTGCCCGGTACGTAGTTGCTGGGACACCGGTCTCTTTAAGTCAGAAGCGTAAGCCTGGCTCCTCTCCTTCCTCTTCCCCGGCGGGTAAGAAGGCTTCGCTTTCTTCCTCAGCTCCTCCTTCTGGCTCTGTTGCTCCTTCCCCTCCCGTTTCAGTGCTTGCGCCCCCTGTTCCTGCTATGGAGGTTTCTTTGGCCCCTGCTCCCCTTTCGGTTGCTGCTCTTGCTGGGGTGCGCTC